TCTCTCAGGCAGCCGACGGGCCAAGAAGTAAAAGGTGATTTATGTTATGCAAATGCATTCGAATTGTTTGAAGGATGTGATAAACTTTTGCCAGCCGCCTTGTTTTCGCCATTACATGCACTGCTGCGGGGGTCGTTGCATTTCATTTAGCGCTAGCATTCGCTTTGGTCTTTCCGCCTGTTCGAAGTGATATTTATCAATTACTTTTTATTGATTTATGCACAAGCCGTAAAGTAGAGGATGAAAAATGGCCAATATGCGTGGGGAGTGGGCGATTTACGCAAAAGATTAAGTGCTGACAATATATCTTAGTCGTTGCCACGAGCCAGTGGCAGGCAGGCAATGTGGATAGATATACATATGCTTGTGGGTATGAAAGGAGGAAAGTATATACATATGTGTGCTTCGTAGGTAATCCAGGCACAAAAGAAGCGTAAATTATGTGGTTTATCAAATGAAATTTTAGTTTATTAAATTAGCTGAATGTGAAAGTACGTGTCTTTTATACCCTTTGGAAGTACAAGCTTTATAATTTTTAGAAGTTCGCATCTGAAGTCTTTCGTTAAGTAACAATACGCGAAGCTGTAGCAATTTTCTACGACCTTTCCATAGGAATAAGAAATATGGTATTTATAGGCCCACTACTACGATAGTCAGATTTCAAAAGCAATATTAAGTAGGTCCATTAAATATGGATTAGAAGCCATGTGTAAAATATTCAAATTATTGGTACTGATCAGTGATGGGTAAAATCGTATTTACCAAATACTAAGTACTAATAAAGTACAAAATTATTTAAGTATTTATGTTGCAGTAAATGCCAAAGTACTATTTACTTAAATATTTTGGATGTTACTAAGTACGGAGTATGGTCATTTTTATGTAAATACTTCAAGTGCGCTAAATACTTAAAGTAAATGCGTTGTATTTATTTATTTTCACATCAATAAATACTGACTAGAATTGTATTTACGGTACAAAAGTACTTAAAGATTTTGGCTACCCTAAATACTCGATAAAGTACTTAATACTTGTGACTTGATTAAATACAAAATTTTTGCTATTTAGTCAGTATAGAAATGAAGAATTTCCGAATTTTCAGAAGTTTCCTGGGTCTTTGGGTCCACTTCTTTATTTCCGTGACTACATATTTCAGGATATTTAGGACTGATTCGGGACTATTTCGGGGTTTTTGGGACTATATCGGGATTTTCGAGTATATTACTTCGGGAATTTCAGGATTTTCGGGATACTAAGGACTGTCACTATTTTAAGAATTTCTAGCGACTATTTCGTAGTTGTTGGGACTATTTCGGGATTTTAAGAAATGAAATTCGCTTAGCTGAGACTTGGTGAGTTGAGGTGAGTTGAAGCAGGGATGATAAATGCGTTTTTTAATTGCGGTTTTTAATGGCCAAGACCTGCTGGCCACGTGTAGACCGGCGGCGGTCCAGGGAGCTCGTAAAACTAAGCAAGTTACACTTCTCACTTCTGGTGGGAGTTCTAACTGGTCATTGAGTGATTGAGAGAGGTAAAAAAAAAGTACAATTGTACTATCAATTTCATCACTGAGTTAAAGTGAGTTGAAGTGAGATGAGTTGAGGTGTTGATGTGAGTTCAGGTGAGCCTTTTTACTTCAAAAATTAGCCACTGCTAAAAAAATACGAGGTTTTGTTTACTTCAGTATTTAACCATCATAAATACACAAGTTTTCTTATCTTTTCCAATAGTTAGCAGCTCCTAATTATCTAAGTTTTTTTTTGCCTGAGTATTTAAACATTTACAAGTACTAAATTTATTTGTGTATTTAATACACAAACAGGTATGCCCCTTGTTGGTTCTGATTGTCAATCAGACTCTAAACAACCACTTAGTTTATATGTGAGTAGTGCATTCAAATTATGTAGAGTAGAAAATTCTTCAGTTGGCTAGTTTTGCGGAGTTATCAATTCCTTTTGAAGATTGCGGAGAGTTCCACGGCAGCATTGCTGAAATACTAGCCGATAGGTTTAAACCTTAATAATATTGTAATTGATTGATGCTTACACATATGTTAGCGTTTGGCCGAGGTTCTCCTCCGATTTGTGAGGTTATCACACAAATTGGAGAAGCTGTTTTTGATGGCAGAAATAAACGCGGAGGTTTGCCGCACTGCTAACCACTACATCACAGCGGCAAACAAGGACGAGGTTTAAACCTCTGTCTTGCAAAAGCAGACCAGATGAGTTGGAAACGCTGAGATGAAGATGATTCCGCCTGTCATCTTTCAAACAGCTACTTCAATAGGAACTCGAAAGAGTGTTATACTGGTAATAATGTGTTCCTAATGGACACATGTCAGAGCAGAAAGTTATCGCTTTTTTGACCACCTGCGGTGGACTACCCGCGAAAATAACAATCCATTTTATATCAGGATTACTTCCCACCGCTTGCTGTATCCACTATTTATAAACTTACCTGTCCGAGATCAGTTCTCAGATTCCCACTGGCACTCTAAAATCGGCCCTGTTAAGATAGGTAGCCCCAAGGGTGCCATGCAGTTTTCTGTAATTCTACTGTGCCCCAGGACCAAAATTAGCCTGATTTGGAAGGCATCCGATGCTATCGAGAGAGAGAGAGGTCATACATTCACAGTCCAGTTTCAATCACGACATAAACGATCCCAGAGCCCTGGTTGGCGATTTACTGTCATAATAGATACCCAGTAGAAAAAGGAGTAAAAAGCAATTGCGGAAGCACTTTTCTATAATGTAGAAGGCCTTACTATCTCCATGAGTTCCTTAATTGTATTTTCTATGAAACGGGCTCAGTTACAATGCATGGCGTTTCCATTTTGGGGAAAATCTTCTAATAATCTCTTTACTATGGCGTTTTTTACAAAAGTATGGCATATAAATGTTGATGCTATTTTCCGCTCCTCTACATTTGGTTTACAGGATAGCTGCTTGTCTATGATCATACTCAAATACTTTACCCTGTCAGAGAGCGTTTGTGGCGATGAGTGCCACGGGTAAGAAAAACTTTAACCCCCCTCATACACAGACCTTAAGTGCGCCAGAGTAATAGCCCACTGCCACCAGAAGCTTAACTGCAGTTAAGAGCTCAGATTAGTTCACAAATTTTAATATGAAATAATCGGCAAGGTTAATTTCTTACATTTTGCTTTTTTACCTTCATTTGCTTGTACTTATTATGGGCAATTACCCCATCGAGTTGTAGTCTCCTTTTTCCAATAGGCATAAGCTACGGTTAAGGCCTGGTCGAAATGTACTATACTGCGGGGTTTTGGAGTTTCCTTGAAGCACTTAAAGTGTAACGAATGAGGATAAACTCCAGCATTATGAAGGAAAAAGCTGGTGAAGGTGGTGATTGCCTCCCAATGAAGGTGGTTGATGTCTTGTCTGAACATTGTGCGTCTGTAAGCCCATAGGCGGGCATGGAGGTGTTTACGTTTTAAATAAATAAGTGGCTGTTCTTCTGTACAAGGAAAGCCGATGGACGCTACTTAGAGCTATTGGAAGGTCGCTCTTCCACCAAGGTAATACAAATCGGCATACGTATGTAGCAAAAATCATTTACTTGAGCTGCAAACCTTTATCTCATCCGGTATTACCTCTCAATTTGCATATTTTTTAAAAACACCCCCAAAAAATGTATCCAGGTAAGTCGGGGAGTCGCATGAAATGGTCATCAATGAAAGCAGCCTTATTTTTATGACCTTAAGGATAGATTTACAAGGATATGGACACAGTGAAGCGGATTAAAATACAGCGATTCCGCTACACTCTAAAATAAAATTGTGTAGATTTCCTACCTAAAAGGTAGGTTACTGATTTCCTACCTTATTATTCGCAAAATTACATGCTTGATTATTCAACGAATAGTTTGTTTAAATTTCGGACTTTTTAGAGCGTAATATAGCTGCTGTGGTGTGCGTAAATTTACTACGAAAGTGTTTGATTTCACCCCGTAGAATGGTGTAAAGTCGCTAACAAAAAGGATTTTTACACACGAAAATGTGTAAATGAGAAAAATACATATTCATTGTGTAAATTTGCCATAAAGTTTTAAAAATAAACAAAAATATACTCGATTTAAAGTCGCATTTTTAAACAGATTTTTTAGAGTGTAGCTTGGCCCTACCCAGCCTTAAAGCATTCAACTCGGAACCCGCTGATAGTAGTATTTATTAGAAAAGAGGGGCCTAATCTACGATGGAAAGACCAAGTGGAGGAAGACGTAGCTTCACTTGCCATTTCTAATTGTCGTCCGAAACGACTGGCATCCTTTATTGAACTCGGCCAAAATTGCTTAATTAGTTACAGCGGCAAACGAGAAGCAGAATTCGTTTAGAAAGCCTGTAAATTTGGATAAACGCTGGACTTAATATATTCTGGTTAGTTTATATTAATGAACAGCTTTTCAGATTTATTTTACTCTATATAGCTGAGCTAATGGTTTCAAGATTAAGTGAGCACACAGAGCCCAACCCCATCAAAGCGTTATAAATAAACACATTTTTAGGTGTTGATATACACGTCTGGAGCATACACACCCGCATTTTTCTTGTAAGCTACAGTCAATGATAAATGCATAGTTTTATCACACTCATACCTTACATAATTAATTGCGACTTGAAGTTGTTTGGATTTTTAAATTTCCACCTCAATAAATTACCGTAAACTTCATAGCACAAAAATATCCTAAATATTTCTTTGATATGTATATTGACTTTCCTAAACCTAAATTCCCAGCATTCTTGTAGTACGCAGTTGTTGAAAATTGTTGGCATAGCGTCCGCCTTCCTGGCTGATTGCCTGCCAACTCACAAATGAACACATTTACTACTCCCAAGTCGAGCGGTAATTATTTATCGCGCAACAACACAGGCGACAAACAAGAAAAATAAATTGTCATGACTTACAGCAATCAACTGGCAATAATTTGCCAATGGCCAAGAAATGCATAGAAAACTTAAAAAAAAAAA